GGCCTTTGGAGACATCGTGGGAACTCCTTCCGGCACCCCCGTACCGCAAAGTGCCATTGATGATCGATGAATGTCTTCTGCAAGCGGAACGACCCCGTTATAAACGCTGTCGCGTCGGCGGGCTGAATGCGCAGGACGAAAAATATTGCTGCAGAGACGTCCGTTCTAGGCCTTTGGAGACATGGTACGAACTCCTTCCGGTACCCCCGTACCGCAAAGTGCCATTGATGGATGTCTTCTGCAACTGGAACGGCCCCGTAAACGCTGTCCCGTCCGCCGACGAAAAATATTGCTGCAAAGACGTCCGCTCTAGGCCTTTGGAGACATCGTGGGAACTCCTTCCGGCACCCCCGTACCGCAAAGTGCCATTGATGATCGATGAATGTCTTCTGCAAGCGGAACGACCCCGTTATAAACGCTGTCGCGTCGGCGGGCTGAATGCGCAGGACGAAAAATATTGCTGCAGAGACGTCCGTTCTAGGCCTTTGGAGGCATCGTGCTAACTCCTTCCGGTACCCCCGTCCCGAAAAGTGCCATTGAGAAATTAATGAGAATGCACTGGCCTGACGCCGTGACGGGGAGGAGAACGGCAGAAGCGGACGCAGACGAACGAGGAGGAATCAGGACGCGCGAGCAATGGCAGGACTGTAAGTAATAGCTCAATTAGAAATGAGAACTTGACATTCATGGCACTTGCCACTGCATATTTCTTGTCCACTCACAATGTCTTTCCTCTGCCCCTGTGTGCCCACGGCCCTGTTGCTGCACTGGCCCGACTGGAACTGCAACTGGAACGGGCCCGTAAACTTGTTTGTTTGTTTGTTTGTATTTATTTTGATTCGCAAATTCAAACGGGCATAGAACCCAATAACATGAAAGCGAATATGAAAATCATAATGAGAATGAGAATTCAAATACTTAGATCTTCAACGTAGAGTCAGCGGTACATCAGAGGGAGATCGGGTACAACAGAAAGAGAACAGAAAAAAACAGATTTCGCTTGTCGACATCTACAGGGCACAGGTATAGGAGATTACCTGCGTGCGAAACTGCCGAGCGTGATGGATGGCACGGATGTCGCTGGGGAGAGCATTCCATAATACAGCACCCTTGCAAGCAAAGCGCCCCCGCCCCGCAACCGAATGGGAAACTGGCAAACTCTGTCACGTCGGCGGACTGAATGCGCAGGACGAAAAACATTGCTGCGATGATGCTCCCTCTAGATCTAGACGACGGTAAGGCATCCCTTGATATGTTGCCAGTGTGTTCCATGGTATCGCGCGATGGTGAATGAGGAATGATGAAGGGTACGGTTAGGTGGGACGGTATACCTGTTATCTTCCAACACGTTATCAGGTCCACAGCACATTGTACTCATTCTATTCTTGTAGTTCGTTACATTTAAGGTGTGTGTGTATATCTTGCCAATAGTTAATGGTGTACAGTCGCACGCTATAGACGCCATGTTCATTTGCAGGGTTTGCAAACTGTACGTGAAGAAAGACAGCATGCCGCCATCTTGCGTTCTCAATGACTTGCACCTTGACCCTGTACCCCAGTGCTTGTCGCGACTAAACTCATTCGAAAAATTACTCATTCAAAAAGTTGAACCCTTCCAGACATGTTACAAGCTAGACACAAAGCATGGCAGTCGACCGCATTCAAAGCGAGTGAGGTGCCAAGAACAAAATACTCCACCTTCCATTGTCAATTGACGGCAACCCGCGTCTCATGCATGACTTGTGTGCTGACAATACAAACATCATAGTGAACTGTGTACCAACCAGTGCGAAGATGGTCTGGAAGCACCTTGTCAGGCCGAAGGTTGTCGTCGCAGCCTTGCAGTGGTTATCTGAGAAGGCGAGACGAAAGATTCATGAATTGCTTGCACATGTGTACCAGTTGTACCGGCTATGCGAGTGCCATGGTGACAAACGCATTCTTATTGAGCTTTGAGACACATGTCAGCAGGGCGTTGTCGCATCACTGACCTCTTGCAGTCATTCCGTGAATGATATTTTGCGCGAGTTTGCATCGCACGCAGCATCGCAGATCGTGTCAAATTACGCATCACAGTGCAAAATTGCTCCTCTGCATGCAAGTGGATTTCATTGCACTTCTCAGTTTGGGAAATGCTCGAATATGATAATTCTGCGCGTGATTGCACTAGCCCTGAACATAGATGTAGGTGACCCGTCTGTGGTGTCTCATAGCCTACCTCACGACCTTCTGCTTTCTTTCTGCATCACTTGTATCTTGCAGGTATATTATCCTGTGACGACCACATTGAAGTCTGAATTTGAAGTGTGAAGATGCTTCAGCAACCACATCGTACTTTTCCATTGCTTTCATTGTGCTTCTACTGTGCATGTGTGTAAGTTGTGATGACGTTGTGTGCTGGCGACACGGTCAGATTTTGTCCATGCGTGTAACGTACACCTGCATGTTATGCATTGAAAAGGATCTGCCACTTGCGATCATGGGACGAGTATCAGGTCACCTTTGTCTTGTGTGGGCTGTACCAGATTGCTATTCACTTCTCTATCTGTTGGATATGTGACTTTCTGCAAGTTTCTGGTGTATGGTGGCCACTTCTTTGCTTGTCACTTTGTATGATATTACATTCTGTAATCGCTGCTTCCATGCCGTGGTCTGCAAACTGCAATCCTTGGGCAAATGTCATGTTTGCTATGTTATGCTTTGGCCGTCAGCTTGTCTACACATTGTACAGTCAACTTTGCGTATAACGACACTCGGCGGGGCATCAGAAAAGTGTCCTTATTCGCGAAGTGTCATTATACCCGAAGTCCCATTACTGTATATGCATTACAGTTGGATGGGACTTTGCTCTGGGCATGGACATTCTGTCGTTATTCGCGAATTGTCGTTATATCCGCAGTCGCGAAGTTATTAGCGAAGTTGACTGTAGTTGAATTATTTTGTTTCACAACTGACTTCCTGAAGTACGGTCGCCACTGCTTTCCATGGCATTATACATGAAGAATTTCCTGTTTGTGTCGTGTGCATGTGCGTATGTGTGCGTGGCCACGTGCGTGTGCCGTGTGCATGTGTGCGTGTGCACCCGCGTGTTTGTGTATCTGTGTGCGGGGTAGCGAGGTGGGGAGGGCTGGTATGTATCAGTGTGTTATTGTAGTCTCATGGCTACATACAGTACATCGCGCGCGTGCTCATCATGTTTACCTTCGGGGTTGGGGTGGGGAGGGAACGGAAAAAGAACTGAAATTATACATATAAAAACCGCTCTGTGTGCGGTTCTGAAAAACCTTTACTGGTGCTGCCCCGTCGTAAAAGTAAGAAATTAGAACTGGAGCATTGTCCCCCCAAAAGCGAACAGATCCACCTAAGTTGCGAATGACGGGACCCGAACGCACCAGTAGCACGAGGTTCCCGGCTAGCTGTGGATGCAGATGGGGACGTCCAGACCATAGGCCATGGTCGTCGATAATTGTACGTGTACTAGCAATACACTGCCACTGATACAATGTGCAATGTACTGCACTATAGTAGTGGTGGTGTTACCCTATGATAATTGCTGTGATCCTGTGCCCCCCCCCCCCCCGACCTCGTGCTACTGGTGCGTTCGGGTCCCGTCATTCGCAATTTAGGTGGATCTGTTCGCTTTTGGGGGGACAATGCTCCAGTTCTAATTTCTTACTTTTACGACCAGGCAGCACCAGTAAAGCCTCTAAAGGTTTTTCTGAACCGCACACAGAGCGGTTTTGATATGTATAATGGACTCTTGCCTAGGTAGATCTACGTACAGGTTCCTGCACGAGTACGATCGTACGAGGGCAGTACCGCGGAATCCAGCCCGTGCCGCGATAGCGGCATGGGCTGGATGAACAGCGGTACTGGCCGAGTATGAGTGACTGGAAAGTGTTTCCCGGTGTGCACCCAAGCCAAATAAAGAGATACATGACAGACACACCTGCATTGTGTTTTGTGATTGTTTTCTGGTACAGTTTTTTGTAGTAGTCCATAGTGCTTTTTTTCTCGTGGTGCGACATTGTCGACTGGGCATCGGGCATTCTGACTGTTCTGTTCCTACGGATTTTTCCCACGTCTTGATCGGAAACCTCGGCAAATTGCGCGGGTCCTGCAGGTTGCTGAGCATAGCGCGCTTTGGTTGAGGCTCATCCGGCTCGGCCAAGATCTCCTTCGCGAGCAACTCCGCAATAAAAGTTTCAGTCTCTTCCTCAACTTTTCGGAGGAGCTCATTTACATCGCCAATATCGTTCAACAAAGGGGCTTCTTTTCTCCCAGTTCCAGATCAAATGTTGGACCGCCATGATGACAGTTGGGGTTGCAAACAGTCGCTCTTCTGCTTTAGTTATTTTTTATTAGTAACCGAAAAGTCCGAAAGACCATGAAGACTGAAGTACAGTAGAGAGTCAAACCAGTGCCGCCAGTGGCTATATACTGCCCGTCGTCAAGTGACCATGGTGACGACGGGCGGTGGAATCCGTTCCTGCCCGTCGCCACTTGACGACGGGCAGTGGATCCAGTTCCATCACCTTTTGAGCAGGCAGGACCGCGCTTTCCAGCCCGCGCTGTTTGATCTGTCATTGGTCAACTCCAAGGCGACAATCACGTGACATACGGGAATACTACTTCACTGTCTTCACAGTTCACTTCAGCAGCTCATGAGTCACCAGTCTGGTCTTATTTTTCGGTGAGACGCTTCTTCAAATACTCGCTGGTACCGCGATACCGGTATACCGGTACGCGGTACTGACTGACGTTGACGTCATGACCTCGGCTCACGCGACTGGCCATAAACGGTGCAGGTTGACGACCTTTATACGCAGAGTAATTATAGGGGGAACTTGGGCTTGGTATGCCGGGTACAACAGGTCGCACGGCATATTTATGGCATGCAGTACTTTGCTCAGACCCAAATCTAACAAGATCACACATACGTCTTTCAGGATACCCTGGTTCGAGGTTTAGTTACCTGTCTGGCGCCTTTGTCGGTTTGTGTCTTTCACTTCCCGTTTGTCTTGGCCACACACCACTTCCTGTCCGAGTTCGGAAGATCTGTTCTGAGTTGCACTTCGCACTTGCGCCCTGGTCAGGAAGATGCACGGGAGTAGCTGGTTGTTCGTGCTCGCCGCGCTTGTCGGCTCGGCGATGGCAGCTGGGAATCATACTTGCTGCCCGAGAACGGCACCTTGGACGCCGTTGTTTTGCACGCGTTCAGTATGCGAAGACGCCATGACCTTCAATACCACCAGCGTCATTTTGTTCGCAGGAGCCTGTCCCCAGGGTATGGTCAATAGCACCTTCACGTGCGCTGTCAACTACATACCTCGCAGCTCATACGAAAGCTTGTACACTGTCAAGTTACCCCTGCTGCAACCAACAAAGCAGTACAGAGATCAGATACAACAAAACCAAGCTACGAGCATCATCTTGGGAGTAGGCTGTTACAGCAAAGCCAAGACTGCTATCTGCCGTGATGGTCTCAGATCGATAGTGAGCAACGTGTCAGCGGCAGTATTGGGGAGCGCCGCGGGGTTTCGACTCAAGAGAGGTAAGCTTACTCTGAACTACAGTATAAGTACTCTTGCGTTGGAGTGTCTGGCCTCGGGCAATCCGGATTCGCAGGAATGGAATGGTGGTATGTCGGCGTGCGCTGCCACAGGCCTCGGCGACAGTACCAAGCCTGACAACTTCACCAGTGGACTGGTGAAGGTTGGCGGTTCGACTTGCACGGAGTGCCAGCCCCTGGTGGGAAAGCTTCCTTTCTGCGCAGCACTGTTCAGCTCGAAGGCTGCCAAGCGCTACAGTCCCCGATGCAGCACAAGAGCTGCCTCCCTGGTCTCTGACAAAGTGGCCAAGTCTTTCTACACGGAGTGGTTGAGCAGGGGCGCGATTCGCATGGGAGGCAGCAGCCTGAACATCACCCAGTCGCAGGGAAACGACAAGTGCATGAAGCTGGTCCGCGCTGTTGCCTGCAGAGCTGCCATGTCGCCATGTGAGAGCGCCTCCACAGGTGGCAAAGCCTGGTGCTCCAAGACGTGTCAGGACAGTTTCACTGGCTCATGTGGCGTCACAACCGCTGCCGCCACAACCATCTGCACCGCCCTTGACGTGACAAGCACACAGTGCGATGCCAAGAGCCCGCCAGACCACTCGGCGTTCCGCCTCGGCAAGTCGGCCAGTGCGAAACGCCGCATCCTGAAATATCAGCTGTGCGTGGCCCCGGGAAACACCTCGGACTTCCTGCTCGTTTTGGACAGCGTGGTGCGGACACTCTGCAGTTCGCAGGATTGCAGTGGAGAAGTGGAGAAGTCTGGAAGCGGCGTTGATGCCAACAACGAGACTTGTGACAAGTACAATACGACGGTTAATGCCCCATCCACTTTCTCGGCTGCTGTGTTCAAGATTGGTGTTGCCGCTCAACTGGGTGTATCCCCTAGCACCCTGGATGTGTCGGACTCGGAGGTTTTCCAGACGGTTGTCGAGCCGGTTACGAGCGACAACAGCGCCGCTGCAGCCCTGCCGACCGTGTCGGCCGTCTCTCTGTTCCTTGTCGCTCTGCTTGCCGCTTACTCTGCCCAGTAGAGTGCTAGGCAATACGTGTATGTACGTGTGTGTGTGTGTGTGTGTGTGTGTGTGTGCGTGTGTGTGCGTGCGTGGGTGTGTGTGTGCGTGTGTGTGTGTGCTCCGGCATGTAAGAGTTTTGTGTTTATGTAGCTGTCGAGTGTGCACATATTTGCGAGCACCATCGTAACACGCAAACAGACACAATCACGCACGTGCTTACACAGATACACACACACACACACACACACACACACACACACACACACATACAAACACGTGGATACCCGCGCCTAGTGGCAAGAAAACAGCTATCTGTTTGGTTGTCTTCAACACGTTTGTGTATGCGCTTCAACCATACTAGCAGCTATTCTTTTTTGTGCAAATGATGAAATCTCTTTTTTCGTCTTTTCTCTTTATTTTCTGTCTCTCTTGCACTTCCTGTTCACCAAACGTTCAGAATTATCCTCGCCTTCCGCTTGTCTCGTGTGTAAGGTATAATAGTACGCTGGCTCTTGGGCTAGTGGACTGGTGTCTACTGTGTCAGGGATTACTGTAACAAAGACACAGCTATAGTGCGTTTGAAAAGTCCAGACCTCTGGTTTCAAAACTGAACCGTTGGGCCAGCATCCGAGTATACCACATAAAATCTGTGATCACTTTGTGCATACAATTTTCAAAATTGGTTGTCTGTTTATTATCCAATCGCTTAGAAATTTATATGAGAAAAATTGCGTGAGCTGCCTGAGCAATATTCCGAAGAAATTTCTCATAAAGCTCAAACCAAATTTGAATTATTCGAAAAAGTCTAGAGGTCTATACTTTTGAAACGCACTACACTCTATAGCGGCTAGTGGACTACAGACAATACGCTACTATATAATTATATAATACGCTACTAAACCTAAACTAAAATCCGATAGCAACTAAAATCCGATGTGTTCACTTTCTGGCGGCCTCTATTTCGTAGCAGTGGTGAGGCTTCCTGCAGCTTCATTCATAGGAAAAAAGGTTTCAGAGCAGACTCGCTCTCTTCCCATTTACTCTGCAAAACTCCAACTCATTTCTCAATCAATTTTTTTATGTTTCGGCAAAATTGTCCTCATCAGGTATGCAATGGTGTGCAAGCATGTTTACATTTATAAAACTGCTCCTTTGCAAACTTGCACACCATTGTATACCTGATGAGAGCAATTTTGCCGAAACGTAAAAAAATGATTGAGAAATGAGTTGGAGTTTTGCAGAGTGAATGGGAAGAGCTAAGAGAGCGAGTCTGCTCTCAGTGGTGTTAAAAATCCCATGCGGGTCTTTGCGATGTGAGCGCACCGCTCAGGGGGTCGGATTTCAGTTGCCAGCACTGTATTAAAATACAGTGCATGTAATACCAAGAGTACATGTATGAGTTATATATTACCAATAGTACGTAACTCATAACGTTAACTCAGAGTTCCGGACCCCGAAGTTACTGGCACGTCAGTCTACAAAAATGCAATAAAATTTAAACAATAAAATTGGAGGCGTATCCAATTTCGAAAGAAAAAGTGACAGCACCGACGCAATCCACACAGTCAAGTAAGCCAATTTCGTAACCGAACGTTTTCGTTCCCTTCGGAAATATTACTACTCCTTTGCCACTTTTTTTTGTGGAAAGAGTGACGCCATATCTATGGCCTTTCCGCGCCTAAGAATGCATGTGATTCGGAGTTGCGAAAAATCCAAAGTTACGGGCAGTGATCGATCACGGACCGCACGGATACGCGAGGTATAAGTCCAAGTACAGTGCTAGCAACTGAAATCCGACCCCTGAGCTCACATCGCAAAGACCCAACATGCCCATGGGATAGTAAATAGAGACCGCTAGAATGTGAATGCACCGCTAACGGGGCCGGATTCCAGTTTCCAGCACTGTAGTACCGGTAAGGCTGTAACTATTTTCAAGACACATGCAGAAAACCTGTCAAGGCGACCACCTGTCCAGGAAGACAGACCTCCAAGTAACATTAATGCATCATCTCAAGCGGCCGCCTTGAGACGGGTTTCAATGTACACCGTATCAGGAAACTCAGCGACACTACCGGTAGCTTTGGGACACTGAAGCTGCGTTTACACGGAGACGAAACGAAACGAAACAAAACGGAACGAAAACGGGCTGGCCTCGAATCGTTTTCAAACCGTTTACACGAGAACAGCAAAATTAATCGTTTTGAACCGTTTACACGAAAACGGAAAACGGGCGAACAGGATGGAGATAGCACTTGCTGGCTTGCCGCAAGGGCGGGAAGTGACAAGTTACTAGTTAGTTGGAGTTGGTACGTGCTGGTGGTCGCAAGGGTTGGGT